TCTCTGTGCTTTGCAGACATGTTCCCCAACCACGAACCCAGCTCGGTAGGGCCGGGTGCTGCTCTGTCACTGACCCCACATGGATGTGGGTGACAGCAGGGCTGAGCCAGCATGGAGCCAAGGGGACAGACTTAAGATTGTCACTGCCTGGTGGCCCCACGTTGGCCTGTGCTGGCAGGGAGCTGCACGGGCAACATCCAACCTGAGCAGTTCTATGATTCTATGAGCTGTGTGTGTTCCTCTATGCGTTGAGTGTACCTTTCTCCTCCTCTTCCTCTCCCCCTGACATTCCTCCTCCCTGTGCCAAGGGCTCTGCCAGGTCCCAGCCAATGGACCTTAGGGATGGGGATGGCTTTGTCCCCACAGCAGGCTCAGGACCTCACCAATGTGCCCAGCACTCACGGTCCTCCCCTCTGGGCCTAGCACCAGTGTATGGGATGATGGGATCGCCGTTCCCATTGGGTGCTCCCAGCTCTCCCTGCAACATCTCCGCGCTGTCACTGCCGCCCATCCCCATATCCCCTCATCCCGCGTCGCTTTATCCCCATATCCTCACCATCTCCGTCCTCTTGCTCCCCAGCTGTGGCTAAAGGACTCCTCCTGCTCTGGGCCGTGCCTGCACACAGCACTCAGCCCCCATCCCCGAAGCAGACCCAGGCCTTGGTGAGGCACATGGCCGAGGATGCGCAGGAACTCTTCAAACTCTACGTGAGTGCCACCTCCTGGGGCTGGGGGCAGCAGGGGAGGGCAGCCGTCTTCCCAGGAACCTCATTTCCCCCCAGGAACCTCATTCCCCCAATGACCCCATTCCCCTAGTAATACCATTCCCCCCAGTAACCCCATTCCCCAGTAATCCCATTGCCTTTCCCGCAAGCAGGAGCAGGAGCAGCACCTGGCCCACAGCTTGTGCCGGGCCAACAGCTCTCTGGAGTGGCTGCGGGGGAATTTGGGGCCACGGGAGAAGGATCTACGGGCACTGCATGGCAGCATGACTCGCATGGAGCGGGAGCTGCAGGACATCACCCTGCACCAGAGCAACCTCCATCCACCCGATGCCGCCATCCTGCACCGCCTCCGCGGCGCCCACCTGAAGGTGCGCGGGCTGCTGGCCCACCTGCACGACACCATGGAGGCCCGCGGCATCGTCCCCTCCACCATCCCTCCATCCCGGGGGCCGGCGGCCAGCAAGGTGTTCCAGCAGAAGCTGCGGGGCTGTCGCGTGCTGTGGAACTACGCCCGCTTCGTGGCCAAGCTCAGCGCCCGCATGGAGCGCATGGAGCGCACGCGGGCACGGCGCGAGGAGAGGGGCCGGCGGCGAGGCCGGCGACGGGGATGGAGGACAACCAGACCCTAAAGGAGACCTCCATGCCAACACCAAGCCTGCAGGGCTGCGCTCGGATGTAGAGCTGTGCCCGGTGCTGGCACCGGGGTCACTGTGGGTTGGTGACAGCCTGCCCTGCCGGATTTTCCAGTGATTCAATGGGTCCGGTGACACGGCCTGACTAAGGGGCCCAACACCCGCACACGGCACAGCACCGGCTGTGAGAGCCGCCTGTCCGTCCCCCTGCAACCCCCACTGCCATCTCAGGGGGTTTGGTGACCCTGGAAATCAGAGCCCCTGAGAGCTTGGTGTCCTTTCCATCATCTTGGTGTCCTTCCCATCATCTTGGTGTCCTTCCCGTCTTGGTGTCCCCACTCATGTGGTGTCCCTTTGAGCTTGGGGTCCCTACTAGTTCTGGGACCCTTCAAGCTTGGTATCCTTGTGAGCTTTGTGTCCCCACTCCCTTGATGTCCCTATTAGCTTTGTGTCTCTGCAAGTCTTATTTTCCCTTCAAGCTTGATGTCCCCACTCAGTTGGTGACCCCACTCACTTGACATCCCTATGAGTTTGGGGGTCCCAGTTAATTTTGTGTCCCTCCTACCTTGGTGTCCCTTCAAGTTTGGTGTCCCCACTTGATTGGTGACCCCACTAATTTGACATCCCCACAAGCTTGGGGACCCTATTAATTTTGTGTCCCTCCTACCTTGATGTCCCCACTCACTTCACATCCCCACTCGGTGTCCCCACGCACACGGTGTCCCCTCTCAGCATCCTCATGCGCACACTGAGCTCACCTCTGTGTTTTCCTCCTCACCCCTCCTCACTCTCTGTCCCCATCATCCCTGTGCCCACCCCGTCCCCTCATCACCTCACAGCCCTGGGGTGTCCCCAGGTGTTGGGCACAGCCCTGTGCTCTGGCAGTGGGCACCGACCCCCCCATAACTTATACATGACAGTGGTTCCTGTATTTATTGAAGCCGTCAAATTAATTTAACGCATCCCCGCGCTGGGGACGAATATTTAAGTTTACACTTTTAATATATAAATGGATATCTATTTTTGTTATTTTTTTTTAATCGTATTGTGTTAAAGTATAAATGTGATATTTTATTTATGAATGCAAATATTATTTTGTACTGGAAGAGGGGACCAACCCTTTATTTTTCTATGGCAGCAGATGGAAATAAAGTCTTGACCTCGGCCTGTGGGCCGATGCCTCTGTCCAGGTGTGTCCGAGTGTCCGTCCGTGGGGCTCAGGCAAACCCCCAACTCCTTCTGTGATTCCCTGGGGGCTTTTGGGGGCTCGATGCTACCAGGAATCTGCCCACAAGTGGGTGTGGGAGGGAGGACATAGTGAAAACTAAACGAATTTGGGAACTGATTAGCAATAACCTGAAAGGAAAGTGAGGTCAGGAGGAGAAGGATGGAAGGAAACAGAGTGGGCACAGCATGGGACAGCATAGGGGGACAAAGGACACCGTGTGGGACGTGGCACAGCGCAGCACGGCAGGTGTTACAGAGTGGGATGGGGTGTGCAATGTGCAGCTTGGGATGTGGCACAGCAGCGTGGCCCTTGGGGTGGCATGGGGTGGCAGCATCGGGTGGCACATGGCACGGCATGGGGTGTGGTGTCGCACAGAGTGGCATAGGTTGGGAGGAGGACACGGTGGGCCACGGTAGCACACTGTGAGATGTGGCACACGGCACAGCGCAGGATGTGGCAGATGGCAGGGGGTGACACGTGGCATCGGCACGAAGTGGACAGGGGCACGTCATGGTGTGGCATGAGGCACCCAGTGGGCCGTGACAAGGCATGAGATGTGACACGGCAGCAGGAGCATGATGGGGCGTGACATCAGGCACATGTTGAATATGGCACATGGCAGTGGGATGTGGCACACGGTGGACGTGGCACACGGGAAGGGACATATGGCACACGATGGATGTGACACAGAGCACAGATCTGCGTGTGGCAACACTGCCTGGCCCTGGCACTGCACCCGGCCCTTCACTGAGCACCACTTGTCACACAGCACCACGGCAAGCGTCACCGTGCCACACAGCCCCATAGCAGCACGGGGACACGCTGGGGGCCTGCTGCCACCAAGCACTGTCCCTGCTGAGTCAAATATCCTAAGACCTGGTCATGTGGCACCACGGAGTCACTCGTTCCTGGCCGTGTGCTCGGCTGTGCCGGCGGCACTGACTCAGTTGCAGGCAGCATCGCCACTGGGACGGCCACCGCCACCATTTGGGGACCCTTCGGAACGATGTCACCATGAAGCAGCCTGAGCTGGCCCAGCGTGTCACCTCCTGCCAGCTGCCATACCCCGCCGAGCCGCCCCAGGAGGAGGCAGCTTGGAGGGGCTCTGAGGGCACAGGTGGGTGATAGCCCCTCCCTGAGACCAGGAACACCTGGGGGTCCCAAGTAGGGAATGGGAAGAAGGAGCCCTTCTGTGCTCAGGAGAGCAGGATCTGGCCCCAGGGTTCTGGAAATTAGGGACAAAATTTGGGAATGAGCTCCAAGCAGAAATTAAGGATCTGCAAATGCTCGTACACCTGGGGCTGAAAATGGGGTGACGCATGGGATGGTGGCATGTCATCAGCCCCAACGTCCCCAGCATCCCCACCCCCTCATGCCATGCAGCTCTGGGCACTCTCCCTGCACGGGGACCGAGGAGGATGCCCTGCAGTGGGGATGTCCTTGCTTCCTGCCCCCTGAGGTGTCCCCAAGGCCAAGGGAGACATCAGCCTGGCTTTGGGGTGATGCCAGCTGGATGGCATTTGTGAGGCAGCACCCATAGGGTGACACTGGTGGGATGCAGGGGTTTGGGCATGCAAAAATCACCCCATGAGTCAAGGGGGAATTCGTCCCCTGCCGTTATTCAGCCCGGGCTTCCCCAGCACTGGGCAGCCACCTTACTCACAGCAGCACCCTGCACCGGCTGGACATGGGGGGCTGTTGGTGGCTGCGCATGTCCCCTGCTGGGGACAGTGTGGGACAGGGAGTTAGGGACCCCAGTGGCTTGGGTGGGATGGGGATGGGAAGAGATGGGGATGGAGGGCTGTTACAGATAAGGACTGGGCAGAAATGGGTGAGAAGAGGCAGCTCATGTCCCCATGTCCCCATGTCCCCCCATGTCCCCATGTCCCCGTGGCGGTGACAGCCGCGGACGGCAGAGAGCAGTGTTCAGCAGGGCAGAGCAGCTTGCGGCTCTCCTGCCAAACCCAACCCCAAACAGCTCCATTTGGGGCCGCGGCCCTGCACGTGGGCTCCCCCAGCCCCGCTCCGCATCCCGCAGCCCCGCAGCATCCAGACTCGTTTAGGGGCCAAACCGCCCCAAAAAACCCATCCGGAGCGTGGGAGCGGGGCCGGCCGGCCGCGGCCGGGATGCCGATAGCGTTGTGTCACCGCCTGCACCGAGCCCGTTCCTGTTCCCTCTTTTGGGCTTTTTCCGAGTGCATCATCCCCGGGGCAGGTGGGCGTCTGCCGGGACCCCCGATCCCATCATCCCCTCCATACAGGGGCCGTCGGGGCCACCGCTGCTAAATAAACTCTTGGGGAAGTGACATCCCCTGGACGTCACCGGCAATCTGTCCCGTGTAGGGTCGGTTTCCTACGGGATAACCTACGGGGTAAGCTGTATAATATATCGGACGTGAGCAGAGATTTCAGCCCGGCTCCCCGCTCCCGGGCACGTCCCAGTTTTGCACGCGGGTCATTTCCCCGATTTCCTTATTTTTTGGCCGTGGAACACAGGGCTGATTCAGGAGCGGGGGCTGTGGGGGCTCGCAGGCAGCGGGGCTGGACCTGGCTGCAGGTGAATCAGCTCCAGTGCCGCATCCTGCAGAGAAACGCGGGGAATTGGCAGGAAGTGGCCGCAGTGGGGCTTGCGACACCCCCACCCCCGGGCTGCCCCTGAGCTGGTGATGGAGAAACAACCGTTTCCCAGGTAATTAAGTGACCCCGATAATGAGGTATGAATTTATACGTGAGGTTGTGCACATGAGGCTCCCTCCCCGCACAGCTCCCGTTATCCCCATCCCATCGGCATCTCCGTCCTCTCCAAGTGACCCCAAACTGGGTTCAATTGGGATTCCACCAGTGTGGCACTTGTCCCCATTCCCCACTTTACCCCTGGGGAAACTGTGTCACCAATGGCAGTGACAGCAGCCCCAGCCCCACGGCAGTGCCAGGTGTCACCACACACAGCAGCACCCTGGGGGCAGCTCAGCTAGGGGACAGACGGACGCAATAGGTGGCACTGCGGAGTGTCCCACTCAACTGCACTGTCCCCACGTCCCCCCTCTCGGCGTCACCGTCCATCAAATGTCCCCTGGTGGGATGCAAGCAGGGCACAGACCCACTAAACCTGATCAAATGTTTCAGGAAGAACAATACACAGAGCAGAGAGGGAGAGAAATGGAAGTGCCTTCAACCTGCTGCCAGCCCAGAGAGGGGAGAGGGATGGGGATGGGGTGTCCCTGCTGGTGTCACACCAACACGGGTGGCACTTGGACATATGACACATGGACACGGGTGGCATTCAGATCTGTGGCGCAGGGGCAGGGATGGGACACGGACATGAGTGGCACAGGAATATGGATGAGCTGCTGTGCTGGTGGCTGCTCCCCCAAAAGAGTGTGGCAGGGATGCTGGGGGGCACAACCACCCCCTGACACAGCCACATCCAGGGGTCCCCTGCCCACCTCCCTCCGGTGAAAAAATGATGGGGAGGGAGAAGAAAGATATATAAATGTATATAAAATGCCTTTACAATTTCTTTCTGTTTTAATTTCCCCTGGCTGCCTCACGGGGAAACACCGTCTGGGGAGGGGGGGGGGCTGGGGGGGGTGAAAGTGCTGCCGGAGCTGTGAGTCACAGCAGCACCGCGTCGGGGCGAGCACGGCCGTGCCCCCATGTGTCCCACGCGTGGTGCCACCCCCCAACCCCCCCCCCAAACCCCATGGCCCCCCCACCCCCCCCCCACAGCCACACGAGTGAAAAAAAAAGAAATACACTAAAAAGAAAACCCCGAGATCCTGGTGACATCAACTTTATCAGAAGTTTATTTCTAAGAATCATTCATGATTTCCAAGCCCTTTACTTCCTGATTTACAGCTTCAATAGAAGTAATGATAGTGTTTCTCCCTCTCTCCCCCCCCCCCTCCCCACTCGCCCCCCCCTTCCTCCCCTTTCTTACAACACAAGCTCACTGCAGGACCGGTATATAAACCCAGAGAAGTCCCCCAGTATGAACATGAATTTCTGAAAACCCGCACACGCTGCCCGTCTGCGCTCGGCTCTCTGGGACGGCGCTCACCATGAGGCTCATCCCTGCAGGTAACAAATCACAGCCCCCCACTCCCTCCCCCCCTTCATCCCCCCCCCCCTCCTCCCCCCCCACCGACCCAGCTGAGCATCGCTGGGAGCTGGCAGCCCCGCTGCCGTCCTGGCGCTCCTCCTCGCCCAACATCTGGCCGCTTATATAACTGACTCCCCAAACACTTCCCAAAGCGCTGGGGTGGGGTTGGGTTGGGTTGGGTTGGGGGGGTGAGGGGGGGAAGGAGGGGGGGGGGGGAGGGGGGAATGTTGGCTTTTTTTTTGTTGTTTTTTTTTTTTTGCTTTTTTTTTTTTTTTTTTTTTTTGCTTTTCTTACTTACTTAACTTGGGAGAGCTGGGGAGGGCTGGGGGAGCGCTGCCAAAGTGGCTGTCCCTGCACACGTGCGCCCGGCCTCGCTCTGCTCGGCTGCGGATCGGGCGCACGGAGGGGGACTGGGAGCACAGGGGGATCACGGAGCGGCCAGGTGAGTGCTGTCCTAGGGCTTCAGCTGAGAGAGGGCAAATAAAGGCGTCGCTGCTTTACCTGGGACCTGCGGCAGCATGGAGTTTCCTACAAGTGTGGGCAGCTCGGTGCGTGCCGCAGCCCTGGGGACTTTGCTCCAGGGCTCCACGTGCTCTCCGATCTTCAGGGCGCGGGCTGGCGAGCGGGGACCCCCATTCCCATCCCTGGGAGCCACATGTCGGTGACCCCGAGTTTGGAAAGAGGGGGTGGCGATCAGGACACCCATGCAGGGTGGCCTCCCAGCTGACACCGAAACGGGGGTCGCAGCACCCCACTGTCACCCCCATTGGGACGCGGTGACCCAGCGCTCACCCGTGCCATGCTCTCCCATCC